AATTTCAAGCAGACTAAAGACACAACCTACCTCATTGAAATCTTGATTCAAAAGAAAGAAATGGCGCTAGGTAAGTTAGAAAGGCTGAGAAAACCACTACGGGACATTCTGAGCTTCTGATTGGTTATTCATGTCATATATAGAAGTAAGTGTATATAAGGGATCATTACCAAAAATGGAAAGAGGTGAGCGGGGTTACCACTATGTTTGATTTATTACGTGAGCAATATATTAGCAAATAGAAAAGATAAGACCTTCTGATTTTATATTCTAGCTTGTCAATATCTGTAATTTGAGTTTCTAATTTGTACAAAACTACAGACTTACTATTTTGACTTCACAAATGTCTAATTTGAACCAGTGCTGCATTCAACATACCATGTGACACACAAAAATCAATGTTTATCTATATTTTTAATATTTACTTTTAAATCAGCAAATTGAAAAATGTATAGTTCTAAAACTTGAATTATAATCTACAGTTTGTTACCAAACTTAGGAAATGGCAGTTCAATAAAATTTGAATGCGAAACAACAAACGAGATCACACGGCCTTTCACCTGTGATCCATATCGAAAGGGTTAACAAAACTAAAGATAGCAACTTCTGTCACAAAAGTTCTTAAACTTTGTTTATTATGTAGTTTTTAGATCATTGTCATTTTAAAGTTATTCATTTTAGCTAATTACTAAGTAATAGAAGTGCATTTACACGTCAGAGTTCACCAACGGATGAATCAATGTATTGAAATCATTATAAATTAAACTGATATACTGAATTAGCTGTATTCATTAATTTGTTTGTTTGTAGGTAACTTGCTTTGATCAAAAGTTAATGGTACTTTGATTTGTATATTGATTAATTATATTTATTTGGTCCTATTGCTTTTCAATTCAGTAGTTTGTAGCATTGTTAACAATAGAATGATATGATAAAGAAATCTTTAAATATCTGTAACATATTTTACTTTAGTATCAGAGTTTTCCTACCACAAAAAATGGTTTTAAAGTTGGGATGAAATTGGAGGGAATTGATCCTCGTCACCCATCCATGATCTGTGTTCTCACCATTGCTGAAGTCTCTGGTTTTCGGCTGAGGTTGCATTTTGATGGCTACTCAGACTGCTATGACTTCTGGGTGAATGCTGACTCTCCAGACATTTTCCCAGTTGGCTGGTGTGAGAGGACAGGACACAAGTTGAACCCTCCCAAAGGTAAGTGAATATGACAGTCTGTTGACTCCATCCCTATAAGGTAAGGTTATACAACTCGTGTGAATGCCGACTGTCTGAATATTTTCCCAGTTGGTTGGTGTGAGAGGATATGACACAAGCTGCACCCTCCTAAAGGTAAGTGAATATGACGGTCTGTTGACTCCATCCCTATAAGGTAAGGTAATACAGTAGATTAATGGTTACATCCACAAAAGAAAAATAACACACAGTAGGATATTCACTGCTCTCTTTAAATGTTAAGAAATTGTTCGATAATCTTATAATTATGGTAATACAACTGCAGCATCTAAAATTGAAAAAGTAACAACAAAAAGATCTGAGTAAGGAAGTATTGCATGTTACTGAATAAGTTTCTTCTGTGTAAAGATAAATACCAAACCATAGTTGGAAGTTTATCATTACCATTACATTTATAATTTACCAGATAGACTGTATGTTTTTACATTTGTAACTTACCAGATAGACCATATGTTTTTACATTTGTAATTTACCAGATAGACTGTACGTTTTACATTTGTAATTTACCAGATAGACCATATGTTTTTACATTTGTAATTTACCAGATAGACCATATGTTTTTACATTTGTAATTTACCAGATAGACCATATGTTTTTACATTTGTAATTT